TAAATTTTAAGATATTACAACTCTCCTCCCTTTTAGGAATTTTGCCATCAAAATTCAAATGCTCAAGTAAAACACAAACCTATTGTAATAGTTGGTGATACTGCTACTTTGTCTTTTCTTTAGTCTCTCCAGTAGGATCTCCAGGAGTTATACCCTTTCAAATTACCTTCACCAATCAAATGGTTTTATTCTTTAGTTACTTATTCTTCACATTCATAATCTGTTCCAGTTCAATTCGTTAGGTCAAATTTTCTTTCAACTCAAATCTTGAAGCAAAATTATGAGATGGATTTGACCGATACTTCTTCAACTACAATATATGAAACATATTATGTATACTATTTGGATGAGGTAGTAAAGCAATTTTATAGGCAATCAGTCCAATTTTCTTTAAAATCTCAAACAGACCAATAAATCTAAAAGTCAATTCCTTAGCTCTCATTGATCTCCTAATTCTAATCATCGATCTTACCTTTAAGAGCACATGGTCTCCTAATATAAACTTGAATGATCTCCTTCTATCAATGTAACTCTTCTGTTTATTCTAAGCTATTAATAATTTTTACTTGATCAATTTGATCTTTTGAATGGTCTGATTCACTAAGACATTGCCAATGAAATTGAAGATCGAGCCTAAGGATGCATTCCATCAATATGATAGACCCACCGCCATAATTCCCTGAACGTTCCATTAATCGAAGCTATCATAATCCAATAATGAGCTTCCTAGCATAAATCTAGTATTTGGGGATTCCCTATCGAAAAGAAATGGGTTGCTAAAGAAATTTGAAATGAATCTAAGGGCAATCCTTGAAAGGACCTAACATGAAGACCGGATGACAAGGTAGACAGAAGGAGAAGAGTTTGCATATTACTTCGAAGTGAGAGGAGGGGGGAAGAGAGTTTTTTTTAATACAAGGCCACGATAATACCGTGCAAAGACTGAAATCAGGTAATGTCAGAAGCCATAAGGCTTATACAATTAGTAGGCGAAATATCAAAAAGACAAATATCAAAATTCTCCATTGAAGCCTTGTGTGCCATTAGATTAACGCATCTATTAGCTTCTTTGTAAACGTGCTCAAAAGTTATCTTCCAATTACGCATGGTAATATCTCTTATGTTTCTGACAATGGCTAAATAGGGGTGATTATGAGTATTGCTTTGGTCAATGAGAGATAAGACCTCCATAGAATTAGAGTAGACGTTGACTTTAGGGATCCCAACTTTAGAGTTTCTTTTCTTCTTCTTCTTCTTCTTTTTGGGTTAAACTTGACTAATTTGTTAATGATGCAAATGCCACGTAGACCTGAATGTACGTCCCACACTACTAAGATAACACCTATTTCTCTTAGCTTTTAACTACAAGGGTGAAATTGAACCATTTTTATAACTTTAGAGGGAAGAATGTATCAAGATAGAGTTTATGACAATGAGTAAGTGAGTATCTCTGAGAGATATAATTTAGGAACAAAAATAAATTTTAACATTTTTTTTGTTTTAAAAATATATTACATTTTGATTATTGAAGATTATAGTTACTTTAATCAATCATTATCATAAACCACTACTATTAATCATCTTCCATCATTATTATCAATTAAATTTTTTAATTAACTTAATCAGACATATTTTATTTTTTGTTTTGTTTTGAAAATCAATTTAAAAAACTGTACTTTAAAACAATTTTTTTAAAAAATGAAAAGCCAATTCTAATTTTTCTAATAATAAATTATGAATACATAGAGTAAGTTATTTTAATTGTCTTTAGTTATATGTAATTTTTATCTTTTTAAATATTAAAATATTTCATACATCTTACAGAAATAACTCTAGTTGGAATTAAAATGTCTAACATATGAAACAAATATAAAATGTTCGTCCTAGTATATGTATTTTGATAATGAAATGAAATTTTTAAATATCAAAGGATTAAGGACTTGTTTTGTTTCTGTTTTTAAAAATTATTTTCTATTTTTAAAAACACAAAATTGAAAAACTCGTTTAGATAAATATTTTAAATTTATTTTTTCATAACTATTCTCTTATTTATTTATTTTTTGAATGAGAAAGGCCACATTTTTTTATTTTTGAAAACAAAAAAAAAATGAAAACATCTTAACTTAAAGTTTTTTCATTTTTTTTAAAACACACCAATTTTAAATTAGGACTAAAGGGCAAAAATGCCAATAATTTTTTCCTTAGGAGCACCTGATATTTTAAGAGAACAAAGATGTAAGAGTATCTATGAACTTATTTTAGTGAGTGCAATAATCTCCATCCTTTAAGGACACTGCAAGCTCATGGAAAAAAAAAAAAGTTATTGAATACTTTTGCTCTTTAACCTTTTAAATTAATACTCCCTTTATTAAAAAATGTAAGATATTTTTTAAAAAATTGAATGTTAAAAAATGTAAGATATTTTTAGTCTCTCGAAATATAATCATTTTTTTAAGTGCCCATATTGATAATGACTTTATATTTATTATAGGATATTTAATAGGGATAAATATAAAAAATAGGATTAATTTAAAAGTAGATAACTACTTTATGGGGGTGAGATTCGGTTAAAAATGCTTTATATTTTTTAATGGAGGGAGTATAACCTAATAGATTTTCATTTTATTTTATTTTAAAAAATAATTATAAAAACTGTATTACAAAATAATTTAAAAAAATGATAATAGAAATTAATTAGGCCTTAAACATTTAAACATTTTAAAAACAAACCAGCAAATACGAAAGGAATAACCCATTTGGAAGGTTCCTTCAACAGAGGCATTTTGACGCTGGTTGCCATTCCGTCGCAGGTGAGCGGTTCTGGCGAAGATGGTGTTGTGTTGCACGGAAACTTCAACTAGGGTTAATTTTTTTTTTTTTTCAAAGTTGGGTAAGATTGTCTGCTTCTAGATGAGAGTTACTCATTTCTATTGTTAGTAATACCTTATTTATTTTGTTTAAGTGAGTATATATTTTTTGTTTATTTATTTTATTTTCTCTTTACATAATCATATGCTTATTTAAATTGTGTAACTCTATAATTTTATTATTATTATACATGTGGCCTTATTGTGTACTTAAAGTTGTAGTAGTTGTGATTTTGTTTTGTCATTTTTAAATTGTAGTCGTTCTAATTTAATGGATGAATTTATATATTCTTGTTATTTTAATTTTGAATTTAACAAGTTGTGTAACTTAATAAATTTTGTTATCTAGATCTCTCTTTTATACTCTTCTCGTTCAAAAATGTAAAGCATTTTTTGAGGAGTTTAATGTTTAAAAATGTAAGATATTTTTAATCTTTTGAAGTGTAATAATTATTTTTTTCAAAAATATCCCTATTGATAATAAATTTATATTTATTGTAGGATATGTAATAAAAATAAATATAAAAAGTAAAATTAATTTAAATATAAGTAATTATTTCATTGAGTGTGAGATTCAGCTAAAAATATTTTTTTTTAATGAAGGGAGTATTTTATTTGTTTTACCTGCGCATCCTTTTACGAAACAGGCACCGGATAAGGCTTCACATTATGTAAATCAATTTTTAAAAATTATTTAAAAAATAAAAATATGTTTAAATATATTAATTTGAAAATAACTTGAGTCAAAAAAAGGGCTGACAGTGAGTGACCAATAATGATAACCTATAATAATAATTTTATAATAGTGGGGTATTTTGAAGACAAAAAAATAAAATAACTTTAAATTGTTTTCTTTTTATTTTAAAAATAAAAATGGAATAATTTTAAAAATATTTAAATTTAAAATATTTTTTTGATTTGTTTGGTTTTTTCTTTATTTCACGTCTCAAAAGGACATCTCAAAAGGATTTTTAGGGATTTATTTAAGAGAGCCAGAGTTGTTTGGTTTTTCAAAAACAATTTAAATCCATTAAAAAATACATTTAAAAAGCTATCAACAGCATATTCATTCAATTATTTTAATTTTGCATTTGAAATTTTGGGGTTGGATATTTTTGAGAAAATTAAAATATGTAAATAATTTTTATTTAACTATATTACCCCTCCAATAGACACCACAAATTCCCAACCTTAAATACCCCCCCCTCTTTTGATAATGCTGATATTATCTTCATCTTAAATTTTAAATATAGTCTCTTTAAGAAAGACAAAAATGCATGATTTAATCAAAAATTAAATTGTGCATTATAAACTAAACTAATTAGCCTTGTTAATTTTCTTCAATGCATATAGAACTATTTAAAGAATTTTTTTTCAACATACCAAACTTCATATTATTTTTTATTTTTACTATTCAAGTTTTTTAAAATTTTTAATATGTATATTTTTAAAACATTTTAAATGTATATTACAATTGTATAACAAAATTATATATCATAAAATATATTCTTTTCAACAATTACATATTTAAAAATATTTTTATATTAATATCATTCAAATAATTTTTAATTTATTAATTTGACTTTTAAAAAATTATTTAAATATAAATTTTTATAATAGCATAATTTTGTCAAACTAATTTTATTAAATAATTTTTTAAAAAATTGATTTTTTTAACTCGCAAAACCAAATAGAGACTTTTTCCCGCCTATTTGATTTCTGTTCCATTTTTTATTTTTAAAAATTATTTTACAATGTAATTTTTAAAATAAAATAAAAATTTGTTTAGTTATATTAATTTTAAAATAAAAAAATAAATTAATTATGATGATTATATACGATTAATAGTTGTAATTTATGATAAAAATTAAAAATTAATCAAGATAACTTTAATTTCTAATAATAAAATATAATATATTTTGAAAATAAAAAAATAAAATTAAAATAACTTAAAGTTCTTTCTTTCTATTTTTTATTTTTAAATATAAAAAATAAAAATAAATAAATTGAAAACACCTATATAAATAAGTTTTAAATTTTTCTATTTTTTAAAATTAAAAATCAGTTTTAAAACAAATATCTCCTTTCTCTCTATTTTCTCTTTTTGTTTTCATTTTCCTTTTTTCTCAATTTTTCTTCACTCCCAAACAACCATCATTCTCGCCCCTCTCCCCCTACCCCTCGTCGTCTTCACCGAATTCATCTCATCTCTCAGATTCTCACTCTCGTTCTGGCTCAGTCTCAGCCCTTGCTAGCGCCACGCCCTTTCCTACCGACACGAAGTTACGCTGTGTTGCTTCTGTTCACTCGCCCGTCGCGGTTGCCGCGTCTTGTTCGCCAGCCTATCGCCTCTCGTTCAGTTCTCGTCGCGGTCGCTCCAGCCTCCAAGTTCGCAATCCCCCTTCTCGATCCAGGTTGGCAGGTTTTTCGATCTTCTTGGTGCTTGTATGCTGCTTCAATCTTTGATCTCATTCGCTGTCTTGTTTGATCAAGTTACATGTTTGGTGTTTTTACTTGTCTCCCGCTTCAATCTTCTTTGTTCTTGTCCTTCTTCTGGTTTAATGAAGTATGATTTCTTCCTGCTGCGTCTTATCTGCTATGTAATTATTTATTTTGCATCTACATAATTAAGTTGGGTGAATTGTGAACCCAAGTTCAATCTTTGCTGTTTTTACTTTTTACTCTTGTTTGAAATTGAAAAATGAACCATTGTTTCAACAATTAATCCATTTACAGTCCAAATATGTCGTCCAACTTGTGCACACGCTATCCTCTGATTCAGTTTGCGGGTTACAAAATGTTAGATTAGATTCATATTCCATCGTTGTATTTGATGAAAAAAACAGAGAGAAAAATGATTTTTAAAGGAACATTTCCCGTCATGCTACTCCGAGTGACTAAGTGAGGATCATATATTAATTAGGAAAGTAATGCTATGTAGGTTATAATCAGAAAGACTTTTATATTCCATTGTAACATTTAACATTATAACTGCTTAAAGGGAAGTTATATCACAGTACTATAAGACCAGCTATACTATATAAAGGAATAAAAAGAACATAAAGTTGTGATAGCAAAGATGAAGTTGTTGAGATGGATGTATGGATATACAAGAAAAGAGAAAACTCATAACGATCACATATGAGAAAGAATTAGCATGACATCTGTTGTGGAGAAAATGGTTGAAAATCAACTAAGATAGTTTGTACGTGTTCAAAGAAGACTAGTGGAGGCACGGTGAGAATAGACAATTCAAGTCCTCTATAGAAAGGGTAGAAGAACACCAAAGAGAATACTAGATGAAATTATTGAAAGGGATATTTTGGTTAACAATAATTCCAGAGATTTGGTTATTGATAGAGCATAATGGCATTATGCAATTCATGTAGCCGATCTCATATATTAGGATAAGGCTTGTGGTTATTGTAGCATCCCTATCATGTTAAAATTTGCAATATCTTAAATTGCATCCTTATCTATTTTATCTATATTTTACTTAATGGAAACTTGATTTATTTGGAGTTTAAGTTGTTTTAAATTGCTGGTGTCATCTTTAACTGCAATGCTTAAACTTTGGTTACAACTTGTTTGGTGATCTTTTCTGTATGTAAAATTTAAATCTTTGGACTCATTCTTTCTTGTTGCTTTATGCAGTTTTGATGGAAATAAAACCTTAAGATCTATATCAGTTTATAAGCGTATTAGTGTTGAAGAATAAATATCCATGCTGAGCAATCTAATCTAGTTTTTAATCTTTGATGCATAAGTAGGGAGGGAGAAGTCGTGAGTTGGTAAAAACTGTGAATCTCATCTATATAAGACAGGACTTTTTAGGCTTCAGATTTGAATGTAAGATATTTTTGTTATAACAGATCAAAGTTTGAAATAGTCATTGGATTTATATAAATATGCGTTTGGTTGACTTGGATATAGAGTCTGTCAATGTAGAAGAGTTGTTCTGAGTATAGACAATCTTTATTTTGTATACAACTATATAATATTTCAATGTGATTGGGTTCTGCCATATTTCTGTACACTGATATGTGATGTATGTTGATTGTTGATACTTGTCTTAGTAACTTGATGGAGAGTTCTGAAGAAGAAAAGGATGCTGTTTCTGGGAGTCATGCTATGCCTTTGGAACTGAGTCGTTTAGCATCTAATGGTACAAAATTTGTAGATGAAGTACTTAATGGTCATAATCAACGCTGTATGGAAAACTTTCGCATGGATAAACATGTTTTTTATAAGTTGTGTGATATTTTGCAAGCCAAGGGCTTATTACGTCACACAAATCGAATCAAAATTGAGGAGCAATTGGCCATATTCATGTTCATAGTTGGTCATAATATGCGGACTCGAGCTGTTCAAGAGTTATTTCGTTATTCTGGAGAAACTATCAGTCGTCACTTCAACAATGTTTTGAATGCAATAATGTCAATTTCGCTTGACTTTTTTAAGCCTCCGACCTCTGAGGTTCCTTTAGAAATTGTTGATGATCCTAGGTTCTATCCATATTTTAAGGTATGAATTCTTTTAATTGAATTGACCTTGCTTGATGATGATTTTATCTCACTTTTTAAATATTTTTAAAATAGGATTGTGTGGGAGCAGTTGACGGTATACACATGCCGGTGATGGTTGGTGTAGATGAGCATGGACCTTTCCGCAATAAGAATGGTTTAACTTCACAACATGTTCTGGCTGCTTGCTCGTTTGACCTCAAGTTCTATTATGTTTTGGCTGGTTGGGAAGGATCTGCTTCTGATTTACAAGTTTTTAATTCAGCAATCACAAGGCGGAACAGACTACAAGTTCCTGAAGGTAAATTGTTTTTAAAATGTTGGCATAGTTTAGGTAGTGATGCTCACTCTAATGACATAATGGGATTCTATCTCTTGCCAATTTGAAAGGTAATTGGTAAAATCATATTCTAAGCAGAAGAAATTTTGTTCATGTAATTTCTATGTGCCTAATAGTTTTTACTTTGCATACTGCTATGCTAGAATAAAAGTGAAGCCTATTATGATACAGGCAAGTACTACCTCGTAGACAACAAGTATCCAAATGTGCCAGGCTTTGTTGCTCCATATTCTAGTATTCCCTACCACTCCAGAGAATTTCCTAGTGGTTATCATCCTCAGGATGAAAGAGAATTATTCAATCTACGACACTCTTTGTTACGAAATGCTAATGATCGAGCTTTTGAGGTACTCAAGGAACGATTTCCTATATTGATGGCTGTTCCTCCATACCCATTGCAAACGCAAGTGAAGCTGGTAGTGGCAGCCTGTGCATTACACAATTATATCCGCTTGGAGAAACCAGACGATTGGCTTTTCAAAATGTATGAAGAGAATGTTTCAATTCAAATGGAAGAATCGCTGCCGCCAATAGAGATGGAACAACCAAACTTAGATATTGATATGCACTCATTGGATGATACTTTTGATGCTGAACAACTTGAACTTGCTACACGGTTAAGGGACTCTATTGCAACTGAAATGTGGAATGACTATATCCATTCGATGTCTCCCGTGTAGATTGAGTTAAATGTTTTTTCGTGCCATTGTATTTGGCTAGGTTTGAAATTTACTTAGTATGCCTAGGAGGGTTTTAGTGTACATTGGCATTATTTTGGTCATACGATAGATGTAGCGAGAAATTACAATTTACTTTATAGCTTCACCCATTACTTTTAGAAAATGGATTATGGTAATCAATTCTTGAATGATGGCTGGAAGAATAAAACACTGTGCATTTTTGTTTTGTTGAACAGAGGATATAATATAATTTTGAATCTCTTGAAGATGGCCATTTGATTTTGATGAGATCTTTTGCGACGTTTTAGGTGGCATGTCGAGTCATCATAAGATGCGATGCTTTTCAAGCAGAGAAAAATCTAAAGAAAGAAATCTATATTTAAAAGGTTACCTATATTTAAGAGGTTACAATGTGTATTTAGAGTTCAATTTATCACATTGAAGGTCTAATGCATAAATGTACACTTGAAGGAAGCAAATTTGGTTATAATGTATGTTTGAGATCAATTGCATGTTGCAATGCATCATGGAAACTTGACATTATGGATGGTTGAGGGGAGAGGAGGGAAAATTCTCCCCTCCAATGAAACACATCATAAAAATATGAATAGTAATCCAAATCAGTATTTAATTAGTCCAAAATAATCTTCCAAGGCTGAAGTCAAGAACAGGAAAAAAAAAATAAATCAAAATTGAAGCTTTAAATGGCATGAAAGATTAAATAAAAACAAGTGGCATAACATGAAAGTGGCATGAAAAATATTTAAATGAAAACAAGTGGCATAACATGAAGAGTCTTAAATTAATTAGTTTTAATTTGTTTATTTTAATTATGTTTGAGTCTTAGTTTTTAGCACATCATTTATAAATAAGCATGTCATGTGCCTAACGTGATTTCATTAAGTGGTATGTTTATATTAAATTAGGCTTTTATCTGTCTTATTTTTTTTTATTTTTCCTTGTACTTTCATATATATATATATATATATATTGTTATATTATTTAGTCTTTTAATAGGAGAGAAACATGGTTACTCATTAATGGGCATTTGAGTTTAAGTGAGTCAATTAGGATTTTTTTTTTAACTAGGTTTTTTTTTTAAGCGTCTTGGTTTTCTTTGCCTATTTAAAAGTCATCATATGTGCTTATAAAAAAAAATTGAATTGAATAATATTAATTTCTTTTTAAGCTAGTGTAAATAGTTTCCTTGTATTTCTTGGAGAAATACCTTGACAGCAAATGTTTGATCGTCTCTTATGTTTCGTATATTTGGAGTTTTCGAAAATAAGTTTTTTTTAATGGAAAATAAATTACAAAACTAATCAAAGTAAACAAGATACAACAAGAAACTTGATTTTTTTTATTAATAAAACATTTACTTGATGTTTTGGGATAAAGTTTCTTCGAATTCTGAGTTTTAGATCTTTTATCTTCTTCTTTTGAATAATTCGTATTTTTATTTATCTTTGTTTACTAACCAAATCTATACTTTATGGGTTTTTTAAAGCATATTCATATTGAATCCACATTAAATGATATTATAGCCTAAGGTTTGCTATATTTCAGGTTTTATCTTTCTAACCTTTCTCATCTAATCTAAATCCACTATCTTATGTTTCTTTTTTTGGCAACCTCTATCTCTTATTGAAATGTTTGTCGGATCGATTTAGGCTTTTAAGTACTTAATATTTTCCTCATCACTCTTCGTGGGGAGTTGAAGCATTAAAGAAGAATATCAAATGAAAAAAGAAAAACATTTTAATGTTACCTTTTAGTGATTGGATTGTCATCCAATATGATTACAAGTTTACGATATTAATAATTATAGGAAAAAAATATAGTAAATTTCACACCAGCAGGAAAACCTTCTCAGATGAGAATTTCTGCCCCTTTGACTGAAATAAATTTTGCTAAATTATTGGTAAACATTAGCCTCTCGTATATTTACGTGGATATTCACCATTAAATAACATAAAAAAATTAAAAAAAGCAAATTAATTACCAAAAAAATTTAACAAGCACGTCAATAAATAATGAAATTAAGAGGAACCACTGACCACCTATTCCAGATAACCAGAAAATTTACATTGAATAATCAAAATCAAAAGTGATTTATGCTAAACATTCCAATTTTCTGAAATCACCTGACAGATATCCTTCCTTGCGGAAAAAAGAATGTTGACCAAATTGTCTTTACCATCACGGTTAAATTTGCGATAACTGAGATAATATGACTTGCATATTTGTGTTCTTATAATGCTAAATACTCATGTTTTACATTTGCATATTCCAGCAAAAATGACATTTACTACTTAAACTTATATGATTTAACACAGATAATGCAAATTTATAATCCTAGTACGAGGATCCACCGTTCAGATATCAAAATACTGTTCTAAAGATTAGTGGCCATAAACAAAATCTGTTATTAAATCAGTTAAGGCACTTGATTAATGATTTACCGGATTAACCTAGATTCGAATACTTTTGTAAAGAATGTAAACAAATTGTAATTAGATTGGTTATGAATAAAATATTTTATTAAATTAATCAAGGTACAAGTTCAATGATTTATCGATTTAACCAACCAAATGAACTCATATTTCAATATTTTATTTAAAACAAATTGATAATCGCAATTCATTTATTTGCTTATTTATCTATTGCAGAGTAGAACCTTAATCTTTTAAATAATAATAATAATAATGAGAAAGCTTGGCTAACAATAGAGAAAGAATATTGAGACACTAAAGTCATATTTGGTAATTAGAATGAAATAGATTGAAAAAATCATGATAAAAATGAATTAAATCACATTCTACCATGATAAGTATGATAAATTCATTAATATATGCTATAAATGTGAGAACCATCACACCTTTTAAAAATTTTATATATTATTATTTTTAATTTTATGAACTAAATTACTTTTTTCTTTTGTGAATGTAGTTACATGTTTCCTTTTGTCATCTCACTTTTATTTTTTTTAATCTATTTTCATTTCATTTTTTTAATAAGCAAATGAGACTTAAGAGTAAAGGGTACAATTTCTTAAACTTACATGTATAACGGCTGGAACTCTAATGCCAGCCAAGACGAGGAGCTTTTAGCCCTTGGAAGCAATACAATAAATACACAGTACTTCCTCTAATTTACTTTATAAGTCATATTTTAAAAGAATATAATAGTTTATTTTATAAATTATTAAATTAATAATTATATTTTATTTTAAATAAAATGCCTAAACTATTTTTAAAAAATATGAAAAAAAATAAAAAAATAATATTATATAATTTATTTATTTTTTGAAAATTATATTTATAATTTTATAAAATTTTATTTTTTATAATTTTATTGTATTGATATTAATAAAATTTATAAAAATGAGTCAAGGGAAATACAATACAATGCATCATTGTCAATTGAATAAAGCATTCATAGTTACAATTCCGAGGAATGAAGGCAAGTCCTTTTGACCCGGTTTTCTTGTATGAGCGATGGTGAGATAAGATCTTTTGGCCAATCTCAGGCATTCACGCAATGGATTTATTAATATCCACATACCAGAGTCTGAAACTGTACTGATACAAGTCAGTACTAACGCGAGGTGAAGCTGATGCTGATGCACCTGAAATCCCCATTCATGGAAGCAATCTTTTTTGGAAGATACATGTTTCACATACAAACACAATTGGCGTACACATGACGTCCCAAACAAGTACTGTTCGGGGCCATCAGACGCCATATTTTGATACATTTGACTAAGGGAATCAATTTCAAGCTCAAAACTGGATACTTATTATTATTTTTTTTTTAAGAAATTTTTTTAGGAAACTGTTTCTACAGTAGAGTTCAAATTTGATTATAGCTTATAGCTTTCTTTGTGTGATTCTAGCTTTCTTTGCTTTTTTAAGCTCAATTCACAGTTCTCAAGAAAGAAATATTAACAGTGCATTTGATTTCATATTGAAAATAATTAAAAACTCTATTTGGTGTGCGTCCGAAAAAACTACAGTTTAGCTTATACATAAATAAGGGTTAAATAATAATTTAACCCCTAAATTATACATGGAGAAGCGTCTAGATTCCAAATTCTTTGTTTTATGTTTTCCTCAACTTTTGAAGACGGTATAATATTATTTTTTATTAATAAATATTAACTTTAATCATTAGGTAATCAGAAATTAAAGCAGGTAATTACTTGTTTAAACCATGATTTTATTGGTTTTCTACTTGAAATTAAACAAATAGTTAGGCATGCTTGATTTCCTTTTTTAAAAAGATTGTTTTGTTGTTTTTAAAACTAAAAAATAAAAAAAATTGGGTAAGCATTTTAGATTTAAATATTTTTAAAAATGTTTTCAATTTTTGTTTCAAACATGTTGTAAATTTTTCTCTTTTTATTTTTAACTAGTGCTATAAACCACCTTCAATTATATTGAACTACTGTTATAAATCATCACTATTAACTAATTTTTTAATTTTAAAATTATTTTTAAATTATCATAATCAAATATTTTTTTGGTTTTGCTTCAAAAATAAGTTTTAAAAATTGATATGCAGAATAGATTTTAAAAATAAAAAATGGGAACAAAACCAAACCAACCCTAAATCTTTTTTGTTTTTGTCCTCCCCACTCCTTAAGCCTTGAATTTCAAAACATTTTCAAAGTTGGCCTTTTTTTTGAGAACAATATGATCTCAAATAATTAAATTGACCAAGTTTTTCAATAAAGAAGTTAAATTAACTTTCTATTGGACATGAATGAATCATGTTTTTGCCCTTGAAACTTTTTCCACGTGAATTTGCATGCGCTTAATGAACTGTAAAGTCATGGATAGCCCAGAAGCCCCACAGGCAAAGCTAAAAGTGAGCAGGACCAATGGAGTGTACTGTTTTTTTCTTTACTTTAGATTTAGATGTAATTTTTAGGTTAATAATACAGTACTCAACTTCAGAATTCTCATAGATATCAATTAGGTGAACATTAATGTACCATGTTATTGTCTGACAAAATTCCTTGTGTTTTAAGTGAAAATGTAGCATGTAAGCTATTCTCTCATATTCTATTTATAAAATAGAGAGAGAAATTTTTTTAATTATATTTATAAGTTACATCATTAAATTTTTATCATAAATTTTTTTAAGAAAATAGATTGTTAAAATATATGTGTATATAAATATATATATATATATATATAAATTTAATTGAAGTAAAGTTAAAATTTATTAA